CACTCTTCTGACAGGCTTCCTCCTTGGAGATCTGTCCCCTTAAATAAGAAAAAACTACTTAGTCATGGTGTCTAAGCTGTGGACCCCTTCCTGCTTCAGGACTGCATGTTATCTCCCTGTTAACTATTGGTCATTTCACCCTGGTCTTAGACCATTGGTCCCTGTCCCAGTTCTCCCCTTCCCTATAAAACCCCAGCTTTTGCTCAGTTCAGTGGATGTGACCGTCACTGGCTCCCTTCACTGAAGGCTGCATTAAAGCACTCCACAGAACGCTACTCAGCCTCCCAACTCTCTTGTCTATGTGTTGGCTGCAGGAGCCCATGAGCAGAGCTGGGCTGATGTGAGCTGATCCCAGAGCAGAAATCACTTCTAAAAGAGCTGATCACGTGAAGCCTCAGGCTGCTCTCTGAAGGGTTACCCTTGGCTGGAAGCTGCCCAAGACTCCCTGGACGGCCGTTCCCCTTGGGACCCTTATCCACAGTAGTCGGTGGCAGAGCTGGGGGTCAGACAGACCCCCAGACACAGACATCAACAGGAAAGCATTTGCATTCTCAGCCACAATTAGAATTTCACTTTTACCTTGAAGAAATAAAACAAAAAAGGGGTGTTTGGTTTTTTGACAAGAACAGCTCTGTAGCTTGCTATTGACAGGCACTTCCAATAGAAAAAAGTCAGTGAATACAGAGCAAGCGCCTTTGAGTCAAAGAAAACTGTTGAGCTGCTCTTTGAATTCAACAGCTCTTTTAAGCTCATTTGTAGAATGACAGGATGGTTTGGGTTGAAAGGGACCTTAAAGACCATCCAGTTCTAACCCCCTGCCATAGGCAGGGACACCTTGCAGGAGACCAGGTTGCCCAAAGCCCCATTCAGCCTGAGCCTCTTGCCACAAGATAAGCAGCAAATGTTTGTGTGATATGTGTGGGGTTTATGGGCAAGGTTTTGATAGTGGGAAGGCTGCAGAATGGTTTGTGTGAGAAGGGAGTAGGAGTTGTCCCTGTGTCACACAGAACCAGGCCAATTCCCAAAGGGGACCTGCCACCGGCCAAGGCTCTTGGCACCGGTGATGCCGGTGACATCTTTGTGACAACTCTTTTAAGGAAGGCTAAAGACCAGTGCATGGCAACTGTGAGAGAGAGGACAGAGAGACAAGATGAGGGAGAGTCTTGCAGACAGCCAGGTCAGTGAAGAGGGAGGGGACAAGATGCTTCAGGCACCAGAGTGACATTCCTGTGCTTTTGCTGGAGGGGACCCCGCTGATGTAGACTGTGACCCTGCAGGCCCTGGCAGACCTCAGTGCAGCAGATATCCACACTGCAGTGTGAGCAGAGCCCCGCCTGGCAGCAGGTGGTTGTGCCCTGAAGGAATCTGCATCCTGTGGAGATCCCACCATGGAGAAAGTCCCTGTCAGGAGCTGCAGCCTGTTGGGATCCCATGCTGCAGCAGTTTGTTTCTGGAAGATTGCACCCAGCGGAGAGGATCCCCTCTGCAGTCCCCAATTCCCTGTTCCCCTTACCCTGCTCATGGAGGGAGGAGATGGAAGAGTGAAGAAGATGGGATGGGTGGGAAAAAGATTTTTGGTTTTGTTCTTTGTTTCTCACTCCCCTACTCTATTATTGATTGGAAATAAATGCAGTTATTTTGCCCATGTTGAAGGAATCCCCACAAGGCATGGCCAAGCAGTCCCCCCACATATGTGCAAGGATAGCAGATAAGCTCTGTGAGAACAAGTAGGGACAGCCACAAGTGTAGGGGTTGCCAGTTATATCCAGAGTGATAAGACATATCCAAGATCAAGACAGTAATTCCAGTCTGCTGGCCAGGATCGATATCCAGGTGAGTTTAGTAGGTGGAAAGGCCCAGGCAAAGCTGCCGCACAGCACAGGGAGAGCTCCAGAGTAAACACCCAGCTTAGCAGCAGCTCCTGAATGTAGTGGGGTCGATAACCCCAGTGAGGTTTGTCCCAATAATTTGCTAAATGCTCAGTGAATTGCGCTGTGGTAGTTGGATCTGAATCCAGGCAGCTGCAAACCCCAAAAGGAAGGCCTTAATTTCACCAGAAAGTCTGCTTGTATCTTTTTGTCTTCCCCTGTTCCAACATACACAGAAAAGCAGTACAGCCTGGCACACAGGCTTTCTCATTCTTAAAATCATGTGTCATTGGCACTGAAAGTTGAGTTCATAGCTTGTTGTCCAGAATTTCAAGGATGAAAATTCCAGGCATGCTTATGGGAATGCAGAATGCTATGAATGTGCCCAGGAGAACAGCTTCTTTTTAGAGGTCTTTTTTGAAGAACAGCTCTGGGGTGGGGGACTGAGGGGCTGCGCACACCACTGCTGCTGCTCCCACTTGAAGGAGGAGGATCGTTGCAGCTTTGTCACTTTGGGCAGAGCTGGGCCTTCCTTCCTCACGGGAGTCCCTAGGAAGTCTGTGATGGATTTAAGTCTAGGGGAATTATTTCAATTGAGTGCTGTTGACAGTATGGTGACAAGACAAACTAGCTCTGGTTGATATCTGTTGTTACTTGCTTTGCTAGTCCAGGAATATTATTTTCAGTCTTTAGTTTTACGGTGACTTGTTGTCTTTAGGTCTTTTTTTTCCAATGTTGCTGGATGTCTCTTAATCTATATATGCACCTGGGCGCAAAGGCTTTTGGGAACAGCAGAAGTGGTAAGTGGTACCCGATGGAAAAAAAGATACAGTGACATAATGAAGGAGAATGAACACACTAAACTAGGACATGACAAAATCTTTGCATAACAACACTAATGGGTATTTGAATACTTTGGCAACACGTAAGTAGTTAACACTATTGATACTTATGACAACTATTCCAACTGGATTATGTAACTTGTTTAAATTCTTAATTTAGGATTTATTTCCTACCCAAAACAGAGGAGAATCATGTAGGGATCTCTCATGTAGATATTTGCATTTCTTGCCTTGAGCTAAGAACTCTAATCAAATTACTGATTTGTTACTTGGAAATGTGCTTTAGAAAAAAATCATGGGGATCACTGTCTTTCTTCCCCTGAATTATGCACTGATGATTTTTTCCATCATTAAATTCCAGAAGTCCAGGATGGTGTTTTTAATGAGAAATAGTTTTGCTGGCCTCATTGTTTTATGCTACATGTGAGCATCTTAGAAAATCCTGTGAGTTTTTCCTGGATGCTAAATGAAAAGAGGTACAAGAAAACATGATTTACATGACATCCTCCTGGCAGTATTAGAGGAGGGTGAGCTTTGAATTTTATTTGTTTCCTGATCTGATTCACTGTACCAGATTTGAATTGAGCTGCCTCTGAGGCATTAATGTGTGTGGAAATAGTTCATATGTTTTCGAAGGGTCTGATTCCATGACTTTCAAACCTTCTTCAGGTTGCAAACTGGTAGGTTTAAGGTGGGGGGAACCAATCCACCTTTGGATTACAAACAGAAGTGCAAAAGAGAAAATACTAAACTCAGAAAATTCTACTCTCGGAAAAAATGCATGTTTTCAGAGGATCCTAATCCTACTAACTGTCATTTTCTTACTGATGCAGGGGTTGTTATTTTCTTTCCCAACAAATCCTTATCAAACTCATCTTATCATGCATCTATTAGAACACAGGAATTCAGTACATGGTGTATATAATGCATGTTGAAGATAATTTTTATTCATGTGACAATAGTTGGCTAGCTCGAGAGTCACAGACAGAAAGGACTTCCAGAAGACTGATCTTACAAGGTGTCTTCCAATATTTTTGTCAGCTTTTCCTCTTAGATTTTCAAATTCATGTTAATGAGCAGGTAACTATTTGATTTAATTCCACAGAAAGAGAGCTTTGGAGGGAAGATGTACTCAAAGAGGCAGGGAAATAGCACAGGCACCACTTTTGCATCTCATGTGCGTGAGGAATGTGAAATAATGGAACCTAACCCAAAGAGTGTGAGAGCAGCTGTCCAGGTGTCCCTGCTGAGCAGCCGTGTGCCTCAGGGCTCAGCCAGGAGCAGGACAGCACACTCGGCTTGTGGGCTGAGCACAGCCCGCGTGTTTTGCTTGTTGGTGTGGTCAGAGAGCTCTGAGGTTTGTTCCTGAGGGCCGGTGAGGGGACAGCAGGGAAGGGCAGAGGATGGCCCAAGCCTCCCAACACGGGTGTCTCATGGTGCTGAGCTGGGAACCAGCACCTTTCACTGGTGCTGACAATGCCACTCCAGCGTGTCATTGCCATGTGCTGAACTTTCTGCATGTCTATTAAATGGTGTGGAAAATGTTCCTGCAAGCCACTGCGGGCACCTGTGAAAACAGTTTCTGTCATGAGGGAAAGGAAGACTCAACACAAGTTATCCTTTGACTTGGTATTTTTTAAAGTTTGAAATGAAACAATTCAGGCACAGACTCAGATGAATTACAGGTACATTGGTTCAAACAGATTGACAACATCCAAACCAGATACATTGAATCAGGATGGGCTTAGTCAACACAAGACTTTAGGCATGAATGTTTATGTGAGAGATGCTTTAAGAGTATGTAAAATCCCACTGCATCTGAAAAGGGTCATGAAGCTCCAGTTCTGATGGAACAATAATGCAGTGACACAGATCAATATTTCAGCAAGAGTGGGAAACTCAAACAGCCATGTCATTCTTTCCTGAGCCCTACTGCAATCTTATAGACACCTTTAGAATCAACAACTATTTTTAAGGAGTTCAACCAGAGTTAAAAATGACCAATGAGATATTCTGAAAATATTGGGAATTCCTTATCATCTTGAGTTGGAACTTTTAATAAGGAGAAGCAGCATTCAAGCCTTATATTCCAAGGCTACAGGACCATGCCTGTGCTTAACCTGGTCTGTTACATCATGAATTGTAACTCACGGCATTGCAGGTGATTACTTTCTAGTCTGAGTCTTGGCCCTGGTTTTGTGTTGTGTTAGAGAGACTGGAGTGATTTCCCAGGAAAGTAGAGCAGATAGCAGACAACTTACACAATCATGTGTAACAAGATTCACAACAAAGTGAAGCAAATTCCCAAATCTTCATGATTGCAGATCAAGGCCCTCATCTACTCATTGCAACATCTATTATTTATACCTCTGATGATTTCAATTGATTCACTTGGATCTAAACTAGAAAGACCAGGCAGAGCCACTGTCTTTTAAGTCGATGCAGTTCTGCCATGACAGTTAATGTGGTGCCAAATCCTAACAGGTTGTGCTCGAAATTTTGGATTGCTCCAAATTAAGACAAATGTGTGTCCAGTAGGACAGGCAGCCATTACAACTATGCAGATCGAGTCTCCAATACTTAAAGCTGGAAAAAGTTTGAAAAGGATGATAAGCACACAAATAAAATATATTATGTAAATGATAAGTAAGGAACAGACCGACTTGATGGCACTGATGTGTGCCTCTGAGCTGGGATCCCTGAAGCCACTTGCGTTATTTTGCATCCGTCTCCTGTGTATCCACAGAGACCGAATCAGCAGGACACTAGAAACAACAGACAATATTAAAGGCATAGTTATTCCAACATTACAGAGAAGAATTAATAAAGCTAAACTGTCTTTCTTTGTGGTTCTTATTGCTGAGGAGTTTGTCATATGTTGAGGAGCAGTGAAGTTCCTCTGCAGAGCATAGTCATCCCAGATGAAGGGAATTGCAGCGGTGAAGGAGCAGAGCCATGATGTGAGCAGCATCCAGGGCACCAGCCTGGCAATTCTTTGCTTCAGCCAGATGAAGAAAGACGGTGTAAAAGTGGCAACCTTGATGCAATAGAAGACACTAAGCCAGGCTCCAAACCAGAGGCTGGAGTAGTTCAGAAATGTAAAAATTATCCTGGTCAGCTTGAGCAAGTCTTTTGTATAAAAAAAGGGTTCATAAAATATATTCATTAAGAAATCCACTGAAATCCATGATTGCAAAATTATTACAGATGAACTCAGAGAGATCACGATTGTATCATATGGGGACCGTGTTTTGCCCCTAATGCAGCTCCGTGAACTGGCAGCCAAGATAATACCATTTCCTAGAATTCCTGCCATGGATTCAATTATAGCAATTAATAGACAAAGGAGAGCAAACGGTGTGAACATTGCTATTCAAGACCTTGCAATTATTACTCAGTTTCCTCTGGGCTCCTGAAAGCCTCAGATTTACCAGGCACGGCCAAACCCAAGGAGCTGTTGTGGGCACAAGCTCACCTATTTATATCAGAAGTGTCCTAATGTAATTTAATATTTCTGCTATTTTACATTGTTGTTTTGGGCTTGATGTCCCAGCTGATTTGTTTAAGCATGCAAATTGGGTCAAGATTCAATTACATAGTTTTCATTTTTGGTGAAGGGATTTGCTTTGCATGGGTTATGGAGCAGGTGAACTGTGGTGTTTACCAATGTGGGTTTCCTCTCCAGTGTCTGATGTCCTGTTTACAAATCTAGATTTGTTTTTTCAATCTGATGCTATAATGTCTCCATTTCTTGCGCTGTCTTCTCTTCAGAGTTGAAGAGACATACTTGTCATGACCTCTTCTAATGCTGGGTAGCTCTTTTCCTTATCATATATTGTCCTATTTCTCCTGAAAAGAAGATTATCATGTTTTTCTTTAGTGTATAGAGAGTTTTAAGCACTATAATTATCTCTGAATTCCTGCTCTGAGTTTCCCAAAGGAAAACAATAAATTTCTGTGGGAAGAAAAGAATAGAGCAAAGGAAAATAATTTTACAGAGTACCTCACTGGTCCATTTTTCACAAGCCTCCTGAATAGATGCAGAATTTACCCAATGAGTTTTAGATCTGGCAATATACAGCATTACATACAGAAGCAATGGCACAAGTGTTAATTGAGGCAGTTTTACTGCCATATGGAATATGCATGCTTTTGAAATTCAGTTATATGTGCTAAAAGAAGTGTATTCAAACACTTTCCACATCCAAGAAGATACAGGTCTTCTAAGTAAGTGGAGAGGCTTGGGTTCATTGGAAAGCTTTGGGACTCATGTTTCATCTGTAGCTCAGAACACAGAAGGAAACACACAAAGGTTCTTCAGAAATGCAGTGACACAGATAGCTGTCATTAGCACAGTAAGAAGGTGTGGACAGTTAGGTGGGGAGTAACTTTGAGACCTTTTCAAAGTTGCTTCCTTGAGTAGCTTGAAATTTCTTAGTGCTTCATCTGTGATTGCCTAGGAGAGTGTTCAAACCTATTTGATCATCCTATTTTACTCACAGGAGTAAAACTGTGAGCATTCACCTCAGATTTATGTACATTTGTTTATATATTTGATACATGTACTACTCTAGTTATTTTGTACATATAAGGGCCAGATACTTATGATTTGAAAGCCTACAACAAAAAAAAGATTGAAATAATTTAAGACCAAATTAAAAGTATTATAATTTTTTTTTATTATTTTAGTATTGCTACAAACTCTTTCTTTGGAAGCTTTTTAAAGAGTTTAGAACATTCTGCTTCCAAATTTTGCAAGTGTACCTGCATGAGAATTTTTGGATGAGTCAAATTCATATAATTTTTGGATTGAAAATCTTTGGGAAAGTGTGGAGGAAGCCCACTCTTCTGACAGGCTTCCTCCTTGGAGATCTGTCCCCTTAAATAAGAAAAAACTACTTAGTCATGGTGTCTAAGCTGTGGACCCCTTCCTGCTTCAGGACTGCATGTTATCTCCCTGTTAACTATTGGTCATTTCACCCTGGTCTTAGACCATTGGTCCCTGTCCCAGTTCTCCCCTTCCCTACAAAACCCCAGCTTTTGCTCAGTTCAGTGGATGTGACCGTCACTGGCTCCCTTCACTGAAGGCTGCATTAAAGCACTCCACAGAACGCTACTCAGCCTCCCAACTCCCTTGTCTATGTGTTGGCTGCAGGAGCCCATGAGCAGAGCTGGGCTGATGTGAGCTGATCCCAGAGCAGAAATCACTTCTGAAAGAACTGATCACGTGAAGCCTCAGGCTGCTCTCCGAAGGGTTACCCTTGGCTGGAAGCTGCCCAAGACTCTTTGGACGGCCGTTCCCCTTGGGACCCTTATCCACAGTAGTCGGTGGCAGAGCTGGGGGTCAGACAGACCCCCAGACACAGACATCAACAGGAAAGCATTTGCATTCTCAGCCACAATTAGAATTTCACTTTTACCTTGAAGAAATAAAACAAAAAAGGGGTGTTTGTTTTTTTGACAAGAACAGCTCTGTAGCTTGCTATTGACAGACACTTCCAATAGAAAAAAGTCAGTGAATACAGAGCAAGTGCCTTTGAGTCAAAGAAAACTGTTGAGCTGCTCTTTGAATTCAACAGCTCTTTTAAGCTCATTTGTAGAATGACAGGATGGTTTGGGTTGAAAGGGACCTTAAAGACCATCCAGTTCTAACCCCCTGCCATAGGCAGGGACACCTTGCAGGAGACCAGGTGGTCCAAAGCCCCATTCAGCCTGAGCCTCTTGCCACAAGATAAGCAGCAAATGTCTGTGTGATATGTGTGGCGTTTATGGGCAAGGTTTTGATAGTGGGAAGGCTGCAGAGTGGTTTGTGTGAGAAGGGAGCAGGAGTTGTCCCTGTGTCACACAGAACCAGGCCCAGTTCCCAAAGGGGACCCACCACTGGCCAAGGCTCTTGGCACCGGTGATGCCGGTGACATCTTTGTGACAACTCTTTTAAGGAAGGCTAAAGACCAGTGCATGGCAACTGTGAGAGAGAGGACAGAGAGACAAGATGAGGGAGAGTCTTGCAGACAGCCAGGTCAGTGAAGAGGGAGGGGACAAGATGCTCCAGGCACCAGAGTGACATTCCTGTGCTTTCCCTGGAGGGGACCCCACTGACGTGACCCTGCAGGCCCTGGCAGACCTCAGTGCAGCAGATATCCACACTGCAGTGTGAGCAGAGCCCCGCCTGGCAGCAGGTGGTTGTGCCCTGAAGGAATCTGCATCCTGTGGAGATCCACCATGGAGAAAGTCCCTGTCAGGAGCTGCAGCCTGTTGGGATCCCATGCTGCAGCAGTTTGTTCCTGGAAGATTGCACCCAGCGGAGAGGATCCCCTCTGCAGTCCCCAATTCCCTGTTCCCCTGCCCTGCTCATGGAGGGAGGAGATGGAAGAGTGAAGAAGCGGGAGATGAGGGAAAAAGATTTTTGGTTTTGTTCTTTGTTTCTCACTCCCCTACTCTATTATTGATTGGAAATAAATGCAGTTATTTTTCCCATGTTGAAGGAATCCCCACAAGGCGTGGCCAAGCAGTCCCCCCACATATGTGCAAGGATAGCAGATAAGCTCTGTGAGAACAAGTAGGGACAGCCACAAGTGTAGGGGTTGCCAGTTATATCCAGAGTGATAAGACATATCCAAGATCATGACAGTAATTCCAGTCTGCAGGATCGATATCCAGGTGAGTTTAGTAGGTGGAAAGTCCCAAGAAAAGATGCAACATAGCTCAAGGAGAGACCAAAACTGACCATCAAGCTTAGAAGCAGCTCCTGAATTTAGAGGGCTCTACATCCCACTGAGGCTTCACTCTGCTGTTTGCTTTAAGGCCATTCATGCGGACTGTGGAAGTTGTTTCTGAAACTCAGCTGCCAAACCCCGAAAGCAAGGCCTTAATTTCACCAGAAAGTCCCTTCATGTCTTTGTCTTCTCCTGTCCCCACATACCCAGAAAAGCAGTACAGCCTGAATGGCACACAGCTTTTCGGTTTTTTTTTTTTTTATCCTGCCATGATGGACACTTAAAAATGAGTCCATCGCATATCATCCAGAATTTCAGTTATGAAAATTCCTGCTGTGTGTATAGGAATGCAAAGCAGAGAAGGATCCTCTACTCACCTCTCGTGTAGATATTTGCATTTCTTGCTTTTAATTAATGACTCTAATCAAATTACTGTTTTTTTTTTTCTTGGAAAATGGTGTTCTTTAAAAATTAAATGGGTATTTCTGTCTTTCTTTGAATTTCTTACTGATGATTATTTTCATCACTAAATTACAGAAACCTAGAAGTGTGGAATGGAAAAGGACTTTGTTTCAAATCCTGGTCTCATTGTTTTATGTTACATGTGAGCAGTTTCCTAAAAAATATTGTGAATTTTTTTCCTGAATTCTCAGTGGCAAGAGGTACAAGACAATATGATTTGCATAATCTCCTTCTGGCAGTGTTAGAGCAGGATGAGATTTGAATTTTGTTTGTTTCCTGATCTGATTCACTGTGCCAGACATGAATCAAGCTGCAAGAGGGGCTGAATAGCATTGCTATGTGTGGAAATAGTTCATATGTTTTGGAAGGGTCGGAGTCCATGTGTTTCAAATTTTCTTCAGGTTGCCTTATAGTGAGCTAAGATGTGGGAATTCAACCAATTACCAGGTTATGGATTAAACAGACAAAAAGAGAAAAATGCCTACTTTCAAACAAGATATGTGATATCACAGGATCACAACTCCTGTAACTCTCGTTTTCCTGCTAGTACAGAGGCTGTTACTTTGAATCCCCAGAATAATTTTTATCAAATTTCTTTAATAATTTATCCAGTAGAACACAGAAGATGGTGTATATAATGCATGTTGAAGATAATTTTATTCATATGATAATAATTACTTAACTGGTCAGTTGAAGAAAGGAAGGTCTATCAGAAGACTTACACTGTGAGATGCCTTCCAATATTCTTGTTGGCTTTTCCTCTTAGATTTTCAAATTCATGTTAATGAGCAGGTAACTATTTGATTTAATTCCACAGAAAGGGAGCTTTGGAGGGAAGATGTACTCAAAGAGGCAGGGAAATAGCACAGGCACCACTTTTGCATCTCATGTGCGTGAGGAATGTGCAATAATGGAACCTAACCCAGAGTGTGAGAGCAGCTGTCCAGGTGTCCCTGCTGAGCAGCCGTGTGCCTCAGGGCTCAGCCAGGAGCAGGACAGCACACTCGGCTTGTGGGCTGAGCACAGCCCGCGTGTTTTGCTTGTTGGTGTGGTCAGAGAGCTCTGAGGTTTGTTCCTGAGGGCCGGTGAGGGGACAGCAGGGAAGGGCAGAGGATGGCCCAAGCCTCCCAACACGGGTGTCTCATGGTGCTGAGCTGGGAACCAGCACCTTTCACTGCTGCTGACAATG